TTTAATATGCGCTGCTCTTCGAGTTTAGAAACACGATCGGATCATGGTCATTGCAGGGGTAGGGTTAGAGTGTAGGCACACACTGGGTCGGCTGTTGTCCTTGCTTTGCCACGAGGCGGCGGCGGGGGCCCGGCCGGGAAAACTTTTCCTGGGTGAACCGCCCCTGGGCATCCGGAAGACCCCAGCCCTTGCGGGCGCGGGCGGGGTTGCCGCACCTCGGGGAGGCGTTCGGTTTCCCTCCCCCCCCCCGGAAGCCGGGCCGGGTTGGGCCCGCAGGGCCCCGCGCCGCAGCCCGGGCTCCCCGCGCCCAGGTTTTCCCATGCGGGGTGTATTCTCCGAATATGTTTTCCTTTTGCAAACGCATCTGGAAATGTGGCTGCAGCAAGGGGGTTCCTCGGTGCAACCGCAGCCTTACAATAGAACGGGGATATTGTTGTCGGTGGAGAAAGGGCAGCGGGGTAAGGAAGGAGGAGCAGTGCGTTCCCGAGGGAGAGCTAGAATTTTTCACATTGGGAAACCTCCGTTCTTTTCCGTAGTCATCGCCTGTTGATTTCTTTCTGGACCATTTTACAGAAACCTACTGCCTTTTACTTGGACTTGGGATCCAGGAAAGTGACAGCCTTTTCTCCCCTGGGGGGTTCCTGAAGCTGTGCTAGTCCTGACAGTTGGGCCAGATACAATCTAATAGCTTCCTAGGGGACTTGGTTTCAAGTCCAGTATTTGGGGGAATTTACCAGTAGGGTTCTTAAATCTGTGGATGTCTGGATATGGGACCTGTCAAACTGTCAAGTCGTCCCCCCCCCCCGCCCCCCATTTAATTGAGTGCATTCTCAGAGTCTTAGGAGCCCATGTTAAAGCTGACTTAATGCCTTTCTCATTTTATGGTGAAAGGTGAAGCATGGCTTGCAAGTGATGGCACCCCAAATGCTGGCCATCCTATTGGATTGCCACCAAATTCCAATCAAGCATCAGATTCCTCCGTTTGGGTTCGTTATACAGAGTTGGGACACTATTCCCAAGTCAGTCTAATTTATCAGAATGTGTATCAGTGCACTTTAAAGCCTGGGGTTGTCAAGGCTTATGTAACCACTCTGTTAATTTATAATCTTGTTACATTGCTTTCCAGATTTATAAAATCATTCCCTTCAGGAAATCTGTCTTCAACGTCTGCTTAAATATTTCTCTTGGAATTGGGTTCCTGAAGAGGAATGTACTGTACAACTGGTGTTTAAAGCATACTAATTAGACAAGTTCCTTTAAAAAAAAAAAAAAAGCATTGACTCTTTTATCCCACTGTTTAATTTCCCCTAGAAAAACAGACGACATTCCCATTTCACAGAACTAGGAATGAGAGAAGGTACATGACATTCCCAAGGTCATGTGTGGACGCGGTGTAGTAACTGAAAATCCAGTGGATGGGGTTAACTTTTCTTAATGCTCCATCTTCCAGGCTTTCCGGGCAGAAACTTGGAGTGCCACCTTTCCCTTTTGCAAACCTATAGTTTCTTTTTTAAGTTTTATGCACACAAAAATTACTCCCACCCTATTAATTTTTTTTTTACTATTCTGAATACAATTTCTTGCAGTGAGATCCATTCATATACAACATATGAGGACTCAGAAGTTATACTGATTTTCATTTTTCCAGAACTGCAATATGGATGGGCCTTTTATGGTTCAAATATAATCCCATAATCCTAAAACGGAGGCTTTTAAATGTCCTTATTAAAATGGAAGGGCGTTCACATTTTTACTCGGCGCAGGAAATACTATTTGTCTGAAGTTTACTGCGGGTGTTTCACATGAAAGTGAAACTGAATAGAAAATAAGAGGTGTTTATTTTTGTCGATACCCAGCAGCCATGGGTCTACGCTTTGGTATAAATAAGGCATGATTTCTTCGCTGTAGCAGCTTGTCTAAGCCTAGGAGCTCATTGCACTGCTTAGGAAGAAAAGGGTACAAGTGAACTTTCCACACGGTCAGAATTATAGGAATTAAGAACATAGGTAAGGAACTCCTAAAGACTTGATTTAACTGTATGCCAGCTCTTTTTGGCTTAACAACCGAAAGTCAGAGTTTTAGCCAACATGCTTTTCTAGGGCAACTATTATTGAGAATTTAGGTACTTCCCAGCCTGCACATATGTGCAGGTCAGGTCTTAGAGCAATTTAGGTGGAAATGTTGACTGGATTCTGGCAGTTTTGAATGTAAACTTAACCTATGATCATTTATTCATGGAGCCTTTGTGTGTGTCTATTTCTGGGGCACCGGGTTAGAGGGTAGCAATAGCTTACAGGCTGGCGGGGACACCAACGTGAACAGTAGGGTCTGGTGAATGCCTGGGTGAGGCTTAGGCAGATCCCTCAGAAGCACAGAGATGGGGGGACAAGGAATCTGACTTGGGGCGGCTTCGCAGAGGGGGTGATGGCTGAACTGCTCTTAGAGGACAGGTGGAGTTCTCAGGTGGAGAAAAGGGGAAAGGGCCCTCAGAGTTCAGGGAGGCTGAGAAGTCAAGGCCAAGTGGTGGAGGGAGGACTTAGATCCAAGTGGGTGAAAGGGAGTTGAGGTAGAAACAGTGCAGCTGTTCTTTTTTTTTTTTTAAGAATATGAAAAGGAAGGGGGAGGAGTAGGGCAATAGCTTTGGGGATGGAGGGGAACGTGCCCTGCTATTTTGCTATAGTTTGGGAGGAGCTGATGTGACATGCCTGGGACTCAGTGAACACCGAGTGAACGCTGGAGGTGTGCTGTCTGCACCAGTGACCTGAAGCTACGTTATCCACCCTGTGGGCTCCCTCCTCATCAGTTTTTCTGTACATGTGTTTGGGGTAGAGGCCTTCTATGCCATGGGAAACCATTTTTCTGCTGGTGGTATGGGAGGAGCGCACCGAAAGAGGATGTCTGCCTTATTGTTCCTGAACGTGTATTTCTCTGCTGTCACTTCCAGAGCCTCCTGAGATTCTGCTTTGGCACCTCCAGCATTTGGCCTCTGCTCAGGTAGGCTCTTCCGCAACAAGTCAGGCCTCCTTCCCTCTCCTTACTGTGTCCTGGCCCGCAAACTGCCCCTCTGAGGCGCCTCAGTAGCTATTTCAAAGTCAGAGGCCGTTGTCTGCCCATGCGCTGTGATGGCTTAAGTTCTGGAGTGTCTCCAGCCTCAGGCAAGATTGGGTCTGTTTGTCTCTCTAAAGGCAGACTCCTACAGCCACCCATTGGCCGGAAAGGTGACGCAGGTTATGAAACCCCTGCTCCAGAGCGCAGGGTACAGGACGTGCGCTGGTCCAGTCCTAGCCTCAGTGGGCCTCCGTTCACAGAATTATCTTTCTCAAACCCAAAAGCGGGTCAGTTCCTTGAAGGCAGAGACCTTTGATTCCTCCGTCCCCAGACCAGAGTCATGCCTTGGGCGTAGCCAGTGTCCCCGGGAAGAATGCCCACGAAGAAGCTTGAAAAAAATCTAAACTTCTGTTTGTGGGTTTTTGTCAGCCTGGTAATAGAAACCATCCCGTTTTAATGCAGCTGGGTTGGATCTAAATTGTTTCACAGTCATAGAACTTGAGAGCTAGAAGCCCGTCTTCTACTCGGTACTAACATGTAGTAGACGCTCAGGAAATGGTGTCTTCCTTCCCGTGTTCCCGGTCGAGTGAATGGCCCCCCTGCTTCCACTCTCCACCCGACTCATCCTCGATCCCCTCTGATCTGTCCCTGAGCCTTGAGTTCTTAGACTCTGCTTCCAAATGTGTCTCCTCCGTCACCTCCTCCTCCTCGCTGCCCAGATGCTGGCGGCCCTCAGCGTTAAGTCTTCATTTACCTGGAGACATTTTCAGTGTCTCCTTCCCTGTCTCCCAGCTCTAGTCTGATCTCCACTTTGCTGCCAGAGTGGTTTGTTGAGCTGTCGTCTCTGACCGCTGTGCCCCGCTCAGGACTCCTCTTTGGCTTCTCAGTGCCAGCTTTCACTTGTTCACTTCGTAAAATGTGATCTGTGGATTTGGGGTCGATGATCTCCTCAGCAGGCTCTGGGATACAGAACTGAATAAAACAGGCATGGGCCTTACCTGGACTGAACTGACCGTTTCTTCTAGTGGGGAACACAGATTATTTATCGCACAATCACACAGTTACATAACCGCGGCTGTGATAAGGGCTGTGATGAAAGAGGACGTGGTGCTGCGAGAGAGCACCGGGGTGTGGGAGAGAGCGGTGGTCAGGAAGCTGACCTTTAAGCACAGGCAGAGCTGCCCAGCCCTGAGGAACATCAACTGATTTGCCAGGCCGGTGGGTATCTGCCCCGTGCCTCCCTGTCTGACCTCGTCTCCTGTGCCCTGCATGTGTGTTTGTCCCAGACACACCCAGCTCTCTCAGGTCTCTGCTGGGAGGCCTCTTTCCCACCAAAACCATGTTCATTTCTTAGTTCAAACTCAGAAAAAGCAATTTCTCTGAGCTCCTTCCTGTGAACTCCAGATTGGAAACACCTTGGGACCCTCCTTGCATGTCCAGCGGAGGTGTGTGGGGCAGTTGGTTGGGCCTGTTAAGAGTGAGGATACATATCAAAACAAGATGGGGAGCTGAGGGTGCAGCCCCTCAGTACTGGACCCTCCGGGGAGGAAGGCCAGTTCTGGAAAGGTGTGCAAAGATGTGTGATTTTGATCACACTCACACCTTGCTCATATGTATTATTGCACATAGCTGTCACAGTCACTGTCCAGGGTGGCTAGTATCTCTGTTTTCTGAAGACGTGCCTGTTTGAGAAGTTGGGTCATGTGTTGGGCTCCAGATCCTGTGGCACTGGCCCCACTGCGCTGTGATGTTGCCCCTTATATTTGCTGAATAAATGAATTTTGATCATTTTTAAAGTGTGCCTTTATGGTGGATTTAAGAGAAAAGTTGACCATGTGGTATTTTGAAATGCCGAATCTTAGGGTGCTGTCCCAGCTCCTCTCTGATGTCCTGCCCCCCTCTGTGTACACACCTCTCAGGCCATCATATTGTCTTCATATTGCACAGCGAGGGGAACATGTTTGAATAATAGATCTAACTGAGCTTAATTAATATTCAGTCACGTTGGTCCTTCCATACTAGAGATTATATTTTACATAACGTAAGTTTTACTGTATAATTTATCTAGATAAAGTTCATTTTATTATTTTTTTCAGTTACAGTGGACATACAATATTATATTAGTTTCAGCTCTACAACATAGTGATCAGACTTTATTACAAAGTGATCACCCCAGTAAGTCTGGTACCTGCATGATACCATACATAGTTATTACAATATTGACTATATTCCCCGTGCTGGACTTTACATCCCTGTGAGATAAAGTTTACTTTAGAGTTAGAACAATGTATTAAATAATTTGTGGGCAAATTATGTAGCAGAGCGTAATGTTTTCGTGGCTCTCTTTTTGAAATAGTTTAAACATTGTGTAGCCTTTTTTATTCATTTGTTTTTTACTTGGACCAAAGCAGAGTGGTTGAACTTTAAAGTAAAGTTTGACTTTCTGTTTTACCTCATTTTCTACAGGTCAGACAGTCCTCTCCTTATTGGCATAAAGCCTTATGAGTAAGTACTGCTGGAGAAGTGTGGAGTGAGAATATTCAGGCTGCAGTTTTAGGGCTTGATTCTATCCTTTGCCCTCCTATTTTGTGAGTATTTGCTAATCTTGCGAAGGAAAATCCTTTTTTAGAAACAAATGGAGGGAATGTAATTTGCAAAGTCCATTAAAGTGGCAGTTTTGGGAAGGATGAAGTTTTTAAGTAGAAAACAGAACCTCCCCAAGTTTCCCATTCATTTTGAGCAGGTGAGATTTCATGATCGTTGCCTAAATGGTGAACCATTAGGTATTTCTCAGGATCATCCTTCTTAGCCCTGATGAACTTACCTCCCTTGTACCTCAAGTCATAACCTCTCCCCAACTGGTGTTCTTTGCAGAGTCAGCCAGTGGTCTGCTATCCGCCTGTTTCCCCCACTTTCAGGAACCATGTTCTTGACTCCCGTGGGAGGGCAAGCCGTGGTCTGTGGGCTGCCTCTGTCCACGGGGGTCCTGCCTTTTGTATCCTCTGCACTTCCTTTGACATAGCTCCCCTCGGCTAACTTGTATAAATATTTATTTATTTTTATACATAGATAACTTCTTTGTAAGAGTCTAAAGGACTGTGTTGTGTCCTACACAATTAGGGCTCAAATATTTTTGCTGGTGAAAATAGACTCAGTGTACCTGTTGCTTCCTCAGCCTGCAGGAATTGCATACCTTATTCCTTCCTCGAGGGAAGCAAACTATTTCATTGAATGTCTTGTTTATTAGCATGACATAAAATAGGGTTTAGACAATGTATTTTCAGGGAAATTGGTTTATCTCACAGATCTCAATGGAAAAGTAAATTGTGTACAGAAAGTAAAAAATTTAATAACCTCCACTTTTCCTAGGTTATAAAAGCAGTATACATTCACTGCCAAAACTTAAAACGCATACTAGTAAAGAGAAAAAAATTATATAATCTTATCAATTTAGTATTTTGGTATTTTTAACATAAAAGCATGTACAAATTATATGCTTTTTCAAAAAAATTGGGACCCTATGCCATGAAATTTGGCATGTGAGTTTTTTCCTTACTATTTTATTGAGGATTTCTCCACGAGATTAAATAGCCTCAAAAAATGGCAGCATAGTGTTAATGTTAGGTGTACTGTAATTTAACCATTTTCTTATTGTAGACCCTTAGGTTATTTGTGATTATTTTGCAAATATAACTGAACATTGTTGAATATAAATATTTGTCCTTGTCTTTATTTCATTAAGACATAAATCTCAAAGTAAGATTTTAAAATTAAGTGTATGCATCATTTTAAGGTTCCTCATACATGTATTGCCAAATTGCTTGTCAGAAAGGTAATTTGCAGTCCCACAGTGTGAGGGAGTCCCCAAATGATTCTGTCTTTCAGTCCGTCAGTGAAATGTTAGGTGTTTATGGATTGGTTTATTTTTTTCTGTTTCAACCTTTTTTTTTGATCATATGTGTGTGTTTTTTAAGATAGTTTATTGATTTTTAGAGATAGAGAAAGGGAAAGGGGGGAGAGAGAGAGAGAGAAACATCAATGTGAGAATGCACCATCAATTGGCTGCTTCCTGTATGCCCCCTACTGGGAATCGATCCCACAACCCAGGCATGTGCCCTTGACTGGGAATCAAACAGGCAACCTCTTTGTTCATGAGACAACTTCCAGCCAACTGAGCCACACCAGCCACGACTGACTATCTATAATAATAAAAGGGTAATATGCAAATCAACCGAACAGCAGAAAGACAGTCCAGATGACCTTCTAGATGACCTTCCGGACGAAGCCAGGTCTGCGAGGGCTGAGCCCCTTGCACAAATTTTGTGCATCGGGCCTCTAGTATCTTAATAACCATCTTTGTCACAGTATCAGTGGGGTGGGGGGTTCTGGGGCCGGGGGGAATGGGTAGGCAGTTAAAATGGGTTCTGACAGTGTTAATAAAAGCTTTGGAAGAGAGGTTTGATTATTGAGTTTTTAAAGTCTCCATAACTTCCAACTTATTTTCCTGGCAGAGAAGTAACTGTGGGTTGACTTTATTTATTTTGGAGTAATTTCTACACACCAGCTTTTGCTGAAGTCATTATTTATTATGTGAGCGCTTTCTACCTGGGCTGTCACCATACTAATTTTTAAAGTCTCACTTACCCTTTGGTGTAGACGTAGTGACATGCTTAGCATTTTTCATCAATTAACAAGAGGCACTACCTTTTAGGAATTTGAACTTGTTACCTGTGCTACTGGCCCAGGTTTTATGGTGTGGTTGTTAACCCCTTATCTCTACAAACACCGAGTACTACTCTCCATCAGTTAATAGATGTCTGGTTCCTGAATACATTGATTCCTTGACCTGAAGCTATCTTGGACTATAGCTTGTTTTACTTAGAGGAAATAAAGATGACTTAACTCAGTACTTCAAGGGATCGATCCACATTGGCAACCCCATCACT